AAGCACTAATCAGCATGAAACATTGTTCAGCGCATGTGACAGGTAAAATGGAGATAAAATGTCTATGTTACAATGTGCTGGAGATATGAGTAATAAACACACCCAACTTTCAGTGTCACCTTATCTGATTGTTTTTCTTTCCTTTGACATGTTGTGGATTCTTTGAAACCAGCGTTCCTGTGAAGCCTCTGTCACCCTCCTCCACTCTGCTGTTCACTTCCTCCTGTCATTTCAAGACAATTCACTGGAAGTTCACTCGCATCTCTCTCTCTCTAATCCTTAGGTCTCATTTTATCTCTACCATCTTAAGTCCTCAGTTCATGTGAGGCTGTGGGCAACTGAAGGCAATGACTGGGAGGGCGTTTCCTTTTCTCTTTTTATTTTGTGCTCCCTGATGGGCGACGATAAAATGACTTAGGCTGCTGTTGCTAATGTACTATAATTGGTACGAGGAGCCGCTCGCGCTGAACAATTAGAAGATGCAGTATCTGTAACCTGTGCTGAGACACTAAGGGAGACAGATTCAGTCTGTCTCTGCTGTCAGCCTGCTGTGTTTTGCATCTTTAAGAGCCTTAAAACTGATTTCAGGGACAGTGAAGCAGCCGTGACTGACAGCAAAGGTTGCACCTGCTGCAGCCTGGAGGACTAAACTTTAGTCTTCGTCCTGTCAGTTGTGTTTTTGGAAAGACAAACTGTGAGCGAGCAGCTGAGCCCTGAGACAGCCTCAGCTTCTGCTTACAGGCGGCCACCAGTTGTCAGACACACTTGTTTAGGGACATGTACAAAAGATTTACAACAATTCGGGGTGTTCACCAATTTTCTTCCCCTTAAAGTACAAATCAAACCAAATACAAATCAGCATGTGTGATTTTAACTATATGGTATGCTATGTAAGGAAATCACTTGTGCTATACAAGTCATTTCCTTCTTACTGTTAACATTATTTGGCCTCTGATCTTCAGAGCACAACAGACTCTCAATGCTGCCCAAACTCCGCATCAGTCCCACAGGCAGAGGGAGTCGCTGGGTGCTGTTGTGGAAATTGACATAATGCGGGACTGAAAAAGTCTGTGCCACCTTTCACAGTTCAACTAAAATTAAAATTACAGGTCATGCACAGAACATCGGTATCTCCTCTCCTCAGTGAAGCCCTGAATATTTCAGCAGGGAGCCGCCACTTCTGGGTCAGCGTATCAGTGTGTGATCTCTGTGGTAGGCCACAGGAAGCCAACAGGGGAGTGAGGAGGAGCGGGTCGCTGAGGAGATCGCCAACTGAACCAGCTGTAAGACTGAGCAAGAATGTGCTGCTCAGAAGTCTGGTTCTGACAAGTTCACTTTGGACACACAACACCAACACAGCTGAGATGTAATCCTTCAGAAGCCCAGACATTTTGAACAGAATGTTCAAATTCAAGTGTACATGTAGGAGTTTGAGTGTGTACCCAGACTCGCACAGAGCTCGGAGTAGAGTTGTCCTATAGCAGAGTCAGTGTCAGAACAAATCGTATCGGGGCTTTAGGATAACCATGTCATGCTTGTGAATGCCCCCCATGATGCCACATTTGATTTACTGAGCTTCTACAGTCTAATCTATGAATGAATGACCTTACAGCGGCACAGCCGACTGAGGCTGCAGCAGCAAACTCTGCCTTAAGGACACGGAACAACAAAGAGACACAAAACAACCACACATAGACACAAAATGGTCACAAAAAGACACAGAATAACATTTTTGTGTCATTCTTCATGGTTGGACAGAGGAGCACAAACAGCAGATGTGGCCTCTCCTCCTCAGGTGCGATATCATCTTCTCGCTGCTTCCTGTTTTGCCCTGACATGTTTTGGCTTTCTAGCTGTTTTGCAGCTGAAAGCCAGAACATGTCATCGTACAGCTGAAAAGGCAGAGCTAATGAATGTTCTAATCTGGCCTGGACTCCAGGATGAAGTCTCATAGCTGCTTGAAGACAGCGCCTATTTTCACAGTGTTGAAATATGAAGTGTGTGTCAGTGAGCGGGCAGGATTCATGTCTGGTGGCAGTCAGAGGTCGCTGCAGATAAACGATGACACTCACCGGACCAGGACACAGTGTGTTGTTTCTGCTGATGAGCCACATTATATCAGGTTGTTTATCAGGTCTGGATTACCTCCTCTTTTTGTGGGTGGTGTGCGAGCTGCGTTCACCTCACTCAGGATGTCTTAGTAATACCACAGCGCACTGTTTGTTCTGAGTCATCTGACAGGAAGCAGATCAGATCTGGAGTGTGTAAGGCATTAGGTGTGAGTGTTATCTGATTCAGGCTCAGTGAAGGCAGCATGATGTGACACTGTCAGCACTGGGGTGCTTACAGAAGAGCAAGGCTCCGCGTTTTGTATTTAAAGGACATTTCCAACACGACTGTCCTCTGCAAAAAACCAACAGCCTCAGATGTTCACTGAGTTAAAGATCATTTTGCCTTTTGTTTTCACATCCTGGTCAGTAGGAATAATACGTACTCCACACGTACATTTTTTTAAACTGTCACTTACGGTTAAAGGAGGCACAGGGTATATTGCTCGTTAGGTTTTCTCATAGTTTGGCTTCTCTCAGGCTGAGCCCAGTGAACAGGGTTTTAGTCTAAATGGGCATGAACCAGCTGCTGCAGAACACAGGGACAGATACATACCTGTAACCATGATAACTGTACACAACAGAGATGGTGACAGCTGCTTAGTAAATAGAAATAGTAAAAACGCCGCACAAAAATAACCTGAACAAACAAAAATGATATCACTGAAGTTTGACTAAAACTAATTTACTCCTTTGTCAGAGGACTAGAACAAACTCAGAATAAGATGCCACAGTGGACAGTGACGCCAGTCGCACACCCTCAGAGAGAAAATGTACTTTGTGGTGTGAAACTGCATGATTATGTTGGACTCGCCTTAAAGTGCAACCCTGGTGCAGCAACAAGACACACAGCCAGACATACTCACACGGACACACAGCCAGATACACACACTCACACACACAGAAAGACAGTGGCTTCAGAGTATTTCAGTTTTTGATTTTTGATTATTTTTTATGATGATTTTGATTAATGCATTGCAGCAATTTTTAAAAAACACTTTGTCATTATGGGACATTGGGCATAGATTGATGGGTAAAAATGTCAGTTGTATCCATGTGAAATTACATCTACTAGGTTCAAGTTTCAAGGATTTTATTGTACAGAAAATCAAAATACTGTTTCTCTCTCACCTAGTATTGGGTGCCATAACATTTAGGAACCAAAGTAGAATAAAGTAGAATAAAATAGAATAGAATAAGAACTGGATTGACGTAATTAGGATCAATCTAAACGGTACAGCCAATAAGCTGTGACTCAAAACTGAGTACAGTCAGTGACTAGTGCAAATAATAATAGGAGATTGTCAGATGGTTCAGCATCACCAGGGCGTTGGTGATGAGGTGCAAATAGCATATGAGGTATACATGGACAGTGTTGCAAATGACCAACAGCAGCAGATATCCTGGCAAAAAAACAGTCAGCAGCAGATTTTTATATAACACAGGGGTGGGCAATTTCAGTCCTCGAGGGCCGCTGTCCTGCTTGTTTTCCAACTATCCCTGCCTGACCTGCTGCTGATTACCTGGCTCAGGTGTGTTCAGTCAGTCAGAAGCTGGAAGATACCATCTTAGATGAAAGTGGAGTGAGGAGAGATAAAGTGAATTGGTACCTTCCAGCTTCTGACTGACTGAACACACCTGAGTCAGGTAATCAGCAGCAGGTCAGGCAGGGATAGTTGGAAAACAAGCAGGACAGCTGGACAGCATTCAGCATCCTCACAGCCTGGTGGATGAAGCTGTTTGTAAGTCTAGTGGAGTCGGCCTGAAGACTCTGATATCTTCTCCCTGAAGGCAGGAGTCTGAAGTGGGAGTGTGTGGGGTGGGAGGTGTCATCAGCAATGCTGATGGCTCTGCGGGTGAGGTGGGTGTTAGAAATGTCCGTGAGGGGAGGCAGAGGGGCGCTGATGATCTTGCTAGCTGTTTTCACTATGCATTGCAGGGTCCTTCTGCAGGAGGCAGTACAGGCTCCATACCACACAGTGATGCAGCCAGTGATGACGCTCTCAATGGTGCCCTGGTAGAAGGAGCATAAGATGGGGGGTGGGGCGCTGGCTCTCCTCAGTTTGTGGAGGAAGTAGAGGCGTGTTTGAGTTTACTAGTCTTTGAGGTTTGTCACAAACAAATGTGAAATGTGGAGTCTGAGACTTTGTGAAGACACTACATATACAAGCGTAGACATGAAATCTCACATACACAAACACACACCTTGTCCAGATGGACTGAGCGAGTGGAGCATTACCTGAGGAGCGAGTGTGGACCCGACAGATTTTGGCCCCAGGGCCATGGCCCTCTGGAGAGAAGACAGACGACGAGCTGCGTCACACTCTGCTGCTGTCAACAGTTACCGCAAAATATCAGCTTCACTTCATGTCACCCTGACACGTCTGTGTGCTCTCTGTCTGTTGCCCTCAAACTATAAAGGACAGGGGGTAGCACAGAGAGCAAGGTCTGCCTCGCCCTGGGTTGGACTGTGAAATCAGAACTTTTATTCACATCACAGCTGAAGTGGCCAAAATCAGAGTTTTGTGTGTGAACAGACCAGACCAGATGTTCTCAGACCAGATCTGGGCTACCTGCATATGTGCTCCTAGATTCGATTCCTCTCTGACTTCTACCTGTGCGAGCACAACTTGGTCAGATCAGAATCCATGTGGTCGTTTTAACGTCTCCTCCTCTGCACATACGGCCTGTAGCCATCATTTTTTAATTATGCTACAACCAGTCTATTTCATCATTAACTCCTGAGAAGCCAACAGTCACATGACAGACAGAGCCTCATGTATTACCTGGACTAAGCAGACAGCCCATGAGTGACCTCAGAAAAAGCAACTCTTTACACCTGACGAACAACTGAAACTGATGATTGCAGTGTTTGTATCTTTGTGTTTGCAGGTTTGACAGCAGCTGTGAAGAGGACGCACACATGTGAGTCCACAGTTTCTTAAATTCTTTTATTGGCTGTCAGTTGGTCGAGGAGCTGGAGAGGAGCCTTTGTTGCCATCGCTGCTGGTCCTGGTTCATCTGGGCGCTAACACAGACTGTGGTGTGTGAGTGAGCCCAGGAGATCTGCAGCTCTGGGACAGTTTATTGTGCAGTGGTTGTTAATTATTTTATACTTTATAATCCCCATGGTGCCGCTGTGGCTCAGGGGCTGAGGGGTTTCAGCTACTGATGAACAGGCAGAGGGGGACGCTGTCTGTTGGGGGCGTCAGACCCATAACTCCCATCTGTTTATACATGGTTCTCACAAGACTGTTTAGAGAAAGATGCTGCAGTCTTCCTCTGCTTCTGTTTGCATGTCTCTGAACATGATTCTCAGCGCTTTCAGCTCGAGGCCTGGAGATGTCTGTCACAGCATGCGGGCTGTGGCTGTTTCTTCAGCTGCCAACGTGCTCTGTGGATTAGTCAGAGAAATGTGGATGTTGTTTAGCCTCTTACCAAACAGCCCTGTTTTTGTGCACCAGCTCAAAAATAATGCACCCCAAATAAAAAGGTTACAGTTGTTCAACCCAATGAATCAAACTTTATTTACAGTATATAGGACCTTTCATACATAATAATGCAATTCAAAGTGTATGACAAATGACTGACAAAAGACAGAGTACATGTAGACATTAAAACTACATTTAAACAAAGTATAATGCTGTTAAAGTGTGATTCTTTAAAAGCAAAAAAGAATATCTGAACAGCTGGTTAGGGATTTAATACACCTTTGCTCTTCTCTCATTGGCTGAGAGCAATGTCAGTCAGCGGGGCGTGCTGTGACGTCACAGTCACATGGCTCGTCATGCTCTGCAAGGAGCAACTGGGCATGTCAGAGCTGTACTGTCCGTGTCTGCACACGCGGTATGAGCCTGTTCCTGTTTCCTCCATGAGTCTGGATTATAAATATGTATTTTATCATTTCTGCCATGAAAGGTAAGAGTTACACAAACTGTGTATTTGTAATGGGATCCACCGTGAAGCGCGACAGACCAGTTGTTGCATGTTAACTCTTCCAAAAATCAGTCTCAGTTCAAAGTTTTCTGTCCGTGCTGCTCGCTGGCGTTCAGTCAGAGCTGGTCTGTTGTCCAGGAGGATGCTCCACTCTGTCCCTGTCCTCGCCTCCCAGGAGCTAGATGTTTACTGCTTCAGCGGGATGAACTGACTGTTTACTTTCTGCTCAGTAACACCACACTTTGAAACTGTCTGCCGAAGAACTGGTTGTAGTGTTTAGTGGTATTTGTGTCTACGGTGGCGCCTGGAAACACGACCCCTTCACCGACTGTGTAAACGCTATTCCGGGAGCTGTCAGGACAATGAATGAGTCTGTGTGGGACTGTCAGAGGACAGGAGGTGTGGTGGACGGGAATGAAGGATGGACGATGAGGATGCGGTTATGTAGGCTATGTAATGTGAGGTTTGAGTTTATTAGCTGGTGCTGGGGATGGCACCTGAAGCTTTTGGTCATGTCACTGAGTCAGAGGTGCACGGAGACTGATAGATGTGACACGAACAGGCCCCAGAGGATAATGTCCAGCTCTGTGACACTGTGTGTCTGTAGCTAGGGTGTGACTGTGAATGGAATATTAGTCAGACAGACTGAAATATCTCACAGGCTTGTCATGAAGTGATGGTGGTGGGGATCGCCTGGTCCTTTGCCCAGCTCCACCATGGAGTTAAGGTATGTGGTTCAGAGTGAAGTGTCTCAGAAACTGTTGGATGGATTGTCATAAAGGGGTGATGTTCTCCTTATAATGCAGTGTTTGTTTATTTTTGGTGACATGTGCACAATCCCATAGATTCTTGTTGCCTCTAGGAATGTTTCCACCAATACACATCTTGTCTGTGAAGGGTCTCCATCACCCAGGTCATTGTGGTTCCACAAAGAACTGAAGAAGCCTTTTGGGTGTAGATGTGAAATGTCTTCAAGAACCTGAAGCGAATCCCCTTCTAGATAACACACACACTGTGCGAGTGACTGTATGCTCCAGAGACGTCAGCAGACTCCCCGATGACGCTCTCCCAGCCGTTATTTCAGGGCTCCGTCCGCCCTCAGGTGGAGCTCGTTGGTTGCTTTGGCCTTGTGTTTGGGGACGTTGTCCTGCCGGAAGATGAGACATTATCCTGTGAGTTTTGGCTGGATGTGAGCACACAGGATGCTCCTGTGTCAGTGTGCCAGCTCCAGTGGCAGAGCCCGTTACTGTCTGGGCACTTGCAGTCTGTTCTGTGTCAGCAGTTTACATGTCTCATGGTCCCACTGTCTACTTGTGCTCTCCAAAATAAGTGCCTCTCCAAGTAGAAGCACTGATCGGGAGGGAGAATTAGCAGCCGATTAATTGAGGATCTGACCTGCTAAATATTTCGACATCACTCTGTCCTCAGAACCAGGCCCCCTCCTCATTAAAGAGTTTTCAGTCTGTTTTAAAACTCAGTCTGGAGTTGTTGATCATTTAAGTCATCAGCACCTGTGACATTAAGCTGCGTCGAGTTGTGCCAACATCTGGCCTGACTGTTGGTGACTGCAGTGGACTCAGGCCGGGAACGTCCCAACATCAGTAACGGTGGCTGCCGGTACATCGATCATGTGTCTGTGAGTTAGTAGTGAACTTCACTGTTTATTCTGACATGCTCTGATCGTGTCCTAGACAGCAGCCTCCGGTTCGGCCACTCTTTGTCTGAGTCCCATATCTTTTTGTTAAAGCTAGAGTAGATCTGTTCAGTTAACTCCACTTTAACACCAGTCATCGTTCATGTAGCGGAGGTTAGAGTGGTTTTCTTTACCCATTCAGACTGTGCCAGTCTGTGTTGTCCAGGCTTGGTGCAGAGTGTGTGTGGGCAGTAAGTCTGTGAGAAAGCAGTGCAGGCAGATGGCCAGCCTCTTATGTCACAGGATTACAACAGACAGGAGATTATTTCACTGCTCTCTGCAGGGAGGGGTGGTGGCAGTGCTGATGACATCACCTCTGCTTCAGCTAATGCTCCAAATACCTGAGCTCCAGGTACTAGACAGGTGCACTTCACAAGGAAAACGACCAGGTTTTGAAAAGTTTGTTTTTCACTCTGAGCTGTAGCTGAGAAATCAGTTTTATTGGCTGAGCACAGAGACAGACCCATCAGCAGGAGCGTCTTCTTCATCATCATGTTTCTGTGCGTCTTGAGTTGTGTAGTGATTCTTAACTGCCTTGTATGAAGGAACACATCCTGCAGTCATGGGAATTACCCATTGTCCTGTGTAGTTGACCACAAGCTGCGGTTGTCTGAGGATTATCCTGTGCTCTGTAAACACAGGCACAAGATGCAAATATTCAGGACTTATTTACCATAAGCTGCAGTCATCCAGATAATCAGTTAATCCAGTTCCCAGGTGGCTTGAGGTGCGTTCAGCTGCGCCCTGTAATGTTTCCTCATCAAACTAAGATTCCTTCATCAGCCATAGTTTGTAAAATCTAAAGCCTCAGTTCCAGTTTTAAAGTTTTTGTTAAATAAAATGAAGTCTTAAAAATGACTAAACTGAAGGAAAAATAGGCAATGACAAAATCTGGACAAACGTGTAATTAGTTTAGGGGAAGAACTTGAACTTCACAAGTAAAGCAGTAGGAAGAGGGGGTGGAGGTTTTCCACAGCAAACCTTGACATAGTTCCGATACTCGGTGGAGTCTGTTGGTCCTGCTCTCTCCTCCTGCTTTGATCCCAGCTCTAAAGGTTTTTTTAGAGCTGTGTTTAATTTATCCATCAGAGACTTGTTTTGCCTGAGCTTTTGCATTTCTGGAGTAAACATCGGTGGTTCTCGTGAAATTTTTCAGCTCATTAGTCTCCACTTAGCGCTGCTGTTCTGCTAATTGCACAGGATACAGCGGTGTCTGCAGCTTCCACATGAGAAACTCTGGAGGTGGAGAAAGTTGGTTGCATGTGTCCAGAGGAATCAATGATCCAGGCCTCAGAGAGTTCACCTCACTGTGTGGGGGGGTAGAGCAGTGACTCCTTGTGCAGAGGCGATGAAGTGGCTGTGGCAACCTGCAGCAGTCACCACAAATCACATTTGCTGTAAGTCTCAGTCTGACTGAAAGGCTCTGATGAAGATGAAAAGGAAAGAGGGAGAACAGTTTTATCTGACAGGAAGCTGGGAAAGGTGGTGGTGATGATGATGATGATGAAGAGGGTGTTCTCACAGAGTGTCATACACAGGTCCTGATGAAAGTGACTCACAAACACGGCGGCTTCGTTAGACTGCTGCTTCCAGACAGAAGAGGCGCTGAGGAACATGAAGGCTCCCCGTATGTCTGACGGCTGCTGCTCTGACAGCTCACGAATCACTGCAGGTTCACTGATGAACCGACTCGGTGAGCGGAGGCGGATCAAACACTGTTACATCTGACTTGCCAAAGCAAAGGCCACTCAGAGCCGGAGGACACCACGGTCATGAACTCGCATGTCCGAGCAACAGTTCAGTTCCCAGACGTGTTCAGTTTACTGTGACAGAAACAGAGGACCAGCTGAGACACTGGAGACGCCTGAGCCAGAGGAGTTGGTGCTTTCCCCTGATACATTACTATTAAAATACTTGGCATAACATCAGTCATTTGTCAGTCTACTGGTAGCATCCGCCCCACTCTGTGTCTCTACCCCCCTGGTCTGTCTTTAGCCCTTTTCAGTCGTGCACTGGAGTCCTGAAACTCTCTACACATTACCTGTATGTGAGAAGGCAAATGTCCAAGTCAGCTGACCCAGACATACGTGGACTTTACTTTAAGAGCCCATGTGAGAATACAACAGCGTATAGTATGTAAGAAGTAAAAAAAAAAAAAAAAAAGGAAAATCTCATCTCATGGCATTTTGACTATCAAATAAATGAACAAGAAAGACTGATGTCTTTGAACCCAGGTGGCTGGGGAGACACCTCACAGCATTGCCTGTCAGCAGAGGACCAATACAGCCAGTTACTGTAAAGGCATATAATGGTAGCATCACACGCCTCCACTGAGCCTGAGGCAGATGTGTGTCTACAGCTGGCTCTACGTATAAATAACTGCTTAACTTTGTCTTTGCTGGAGTATGTGCACATACAGTATCTCGTACCAAGACAAATTCTGCCTCTGAATGAACTTTAGAAGATTTTATTTGTTTCTTTGTGCATCTGTGTTTTTGCAATGCCACACATATGAGACTGTCACAGGAAAACAGGGAGGCTGTGCGAAACATTTATGTAGAGTCAAAGCGTCTGTTTGCAGAGGGATTAATGACTTGGTCCTGTCCTCTTAAAGCAGCTGTTGTTGTGCAGAAGAAGCAGGAAGTTGCAGCGGCCCGGCAGCAGAGTCCTGGGATAATGTTGTGTTCGCGTCTCGTGGTAGAGATGGAGAACGTTCCTGTGTTTGTGACTCATATGCCTTCATGTTATTTGATGCCTTGAGACACACAGACAGTACAGTGAAGTCCACAAGTTTTTGGACAAGGACACAGGTTTTGTACTTTTGCCTCTGTACAGCACTACAGTGGATTTGAAATGAAGTTGTAAATATGTTTTAGAAGAGTTGGCTTTCAGCCTTAAGTCAAGGGGTTTCACCAAAACATCCGAAATTAACCATTAAGCTATTATAGCCATTTTGACATTAAGTCCCCCATTTTCAGAGGTTCAAAAGTAATTGGACAAAGAAATATAAAAAAATATATATGATTGTTAGTTATAACACTTGGATGTAATCCTTTACACTGACTGTGAAGTCTGGAACCCATGGGTGTCACCAGATGTTTCCTCTGAGATGCTTTGCCAGGCCTTTACTGCAGTGGCCTACAGTCGCTGCTTGTTTGTAGGTCAGTTTTGTCTTCAGTAAGGAAAAGCACGCTCAGTGGGCTACTCCAGTTTATTAGGAACACTTAGCTAAAACTGAAGCAGCAGCCCTGCAGTAAAGTGATGATCAAATGATTTGTTGAGTTATTTGTTGAGTTTTTGTTGAAACAGGACATCTGCTGGAACCCTTTGACAAGAGTGTTTTACCACAGAGCAGGTGTACACAGCTGTGCTGAAGTGCAGGAAACCAGCAGTCCCAAATCGTACATTGAGCACGAAGTGTCCACCCATCCTGCCTGAGACGCCTGAGCTGGAGCTGCTCCCAGACTTTTCTCACAGGGACGTTGGGTCTCATGATTATTCTGAGACTGTTGTTTTGTATTGAACTGAATGGGACAGAGGCACTGTTGTTGCTGTCAATGGAGTTACATGTGACAGGTTTAAAAATGAACTCATGCAAACAGAAATCTAAATTGTGAAAGTTGATATTCTGCCATAAGATAAAGTCAGCCATATACGGTGATGCAGCCACAAAACTAAATCTTGATTTAAGATACATGCCCCTTGTCTCTGTAAAACATTACCCCAAATAAGATGAAACTGGTAATTAAGTCAAACCAAGGAATACTTTCCTTGAGTTAAGTGAAACAACCCTGTCTAGTCTCTTCACATCAGACTAGAGTTTAAATGAGATTATTTCTCTTTTTTGCTGTGCAGCATTTATAATATAATATTCAATAAAATATCATACTTGGTTTATTAAGCTTGAGTAATAAGGCAGTCACAAAGCAACGGATGCATCTTTACTGATCAGACACTGATGGAGATTTCCTGAGGAAACAGTTCATCTGAGTCTGTGAGCACAGAGTTCACGAACTGTTAGGAAGTGGCATGAAATCAAAATGTGTGGGTGGAAAATGTTGAACATTCTCAGAAAGAAACTGTCCTTCAGCTCAAAGCGCAGAAATAATGTTAGCATCAAATGATCAGAGCCCTCAGGTGTAGCGGGCTGACAGTGGTGAGGACAAAACGCTGGTCTTGATGTAAGACAGCATGGATTTTATTGTCAGGCTCTCTGATCAGTGGCTTCTGTTTGATGTGGCAGGGGCCTGGGATGGAAGAGGCATCATGCAGCAGAGCTTGAAACAGTTCCTGATGAGTGAGACTTGTCCTATATAAAGTAACAAGATGGCCCGGCCCCAAAGCTGGCGGCCTACCGGGCCTTTCTGTGTGGAGTCTGCATGTTCTCCCAGTTAAACCGCCCATAGGTGTGAGTGTTTGTCTGTTTCTGTGTGCCAGCCCTGTGACAGACTGGCCACCTAATACTTCAGTGTTGTTGTCACTGAGTGTTAACCCACCAAGCAGTTACTGATTTTGATATGACAGCAAGTAAACACGTGTTTGTGTTTATGCAACTCTGTGTGCACACACACATAGCTTCCCTCTGCTAAATATAGCAGCTCAGGAGCTGTCGCTCGGTTTCAGTCTGTTGCGTGTGTAATTACACACAGTCGGTGTGTTTCCATGTTCAGTGTGAGCTGCTGATAAACTGGCCATACTCTGCAGGTTAACTTCTGCACTGATCTCTACAGACTGACTGTTACGATCAAAGAAGATCAGGAAGCCATTCATACTGGAGCGAATCCTACTCCATGGAGACACGGGCAGTCATGAGCCTTTCAAACATTTTGATAAAATGGTCTTAGAGGGAATTTCCTTTGTTGAATTCAGTGTTTGCCAAAAGAATGGAAACATGCAGTGTTAGTCCCAGTAATAAACCCAGGTAAAGAGCGTTCAAACCCCCGGCTCAAATCGCCCAGGAGCATCGGCTTCAGTGCTACACAAAATAAATGGAAGTGTCTTCTTGAAGGAACATAGGAAACATCTGGTAAAACCAAAAGGCTTCCTTTTTTGGAACAAATAAGTCAGTGGATCGGGAAACAGGGAATAGAGATGAACTTTCTAGCAGGTCAGACGTGCTGGGCATCGGTTCCTTTTTAGCTGATGCCAGAACCAGATGTTGATTTTACCCTTTGATCTTTTCTCCTAGATAAGGACTCTAGTGTACTTAGTTTTGTGCCAATAAATGTCTGAATAAATCCACTGAAGATCTTTCCTGACAGCTCCAGAGAGTGGGAAGGCAGGCTCTGGGGTGTATGTGTCACAGCTAGATATAAAACTTTGTCAGCATATTAATATCTCCGTTTTCACTACTGAACTGCTAGCAGGTTTCTGGACATTGCACTGGATAAAAAATGCAAAAAGTTGATTTTGAACGAGTAAAATTTTTAAAACCTTTCTGCACAGTTTTTGTTTTTGCACAGTGTGTAAAATGTCTAATGCGTTGAAAACAAGTTGTCACAACATGCACAAAAGTGTTATTGTAAGCTATAAAATAGAATATTGCTAGTCTCACAAATTCCTCATGGCTTATTTACTACCATAGCTACCATGATGGCCGACACGCCCCACAATACAACGCGCCTTCCCCAAACCCTGTTAGCTGCCGTGAGTCACGAGAGGCCATAAACACGAGCTAACCAGCTTTACGACCTGTCGTGACTCAGGATGTTGCTAGTTCGTAGTGGACTTTTAAAAAAAGTTTTATTATTATTGCTGCAACAGGTGTATAACATTGTGCATTTAGAGGACAACTGGACAAAAGTAGGCATAATATAACAAAGTGAAAACAAATAACAGAACCAAACAAGTGAGAACAAAGAAAAGAAAATACAAAGAGGTAAGGCTATTCTGATATAAGAATCTAACGTTTGAGGAGGTCAATGGTTTTGGTTCGTTTTTTGTTAGGGTGGTTTCATTGTGAAAGTGTTTGGAAGTAATTGTTAAGATCAGATTGTTTAAAAGTCATAGCGGACTTAACGATAGTGACGACAAGATCTGAGCCCTCGGTTTTCTTTGTTGAAGAGAGATTATGTCTGGCTACGAGATGTGAGCCGTGGAGGTACCGCTGACAACTGTCTGCAGGTACCGGACTGAAGATGTCAACACAAACAGATGATTCAGAGTGCCTTTTGTAATGCAGTATCCTTGGTCCATGAGTCTAAAGAGTCTCTGCAGAGTGAGATTTTTTTGAGACTGCAGGCAAAGCTGCACTTCAGTTTTTGTTGAGGCTTGTTAATGAAACAGTTTTAAAATCCAGGATCAAACTGTGATGCATCCTCCAGGTCAGACAGAAAATGTCCCAGTTGTCTCTCCATTGTGACGATTAGACCTACCTGACTGTCTGTGATGCAGCTGTGGACAGATGTTGTGTGTGTCCCTCACTGTCTTCACTGTCTCTCTGCAGCTCAGATTGAAATCATTCCCTGTAAGATCTGTGGAGATAAATCATCTGGGATCCACTACGGGGTGATCACCTGTGAGGGCTGTAAGGTAAGCCCCACCGTCTCCACTACATTTCCTCACTTCCTGTTGAGCATGGTCTTCCTGTTTCCCATCAGAGGTTGTCATGGGATACATCTCAAGTCTCTGATATAGTCGTTCCTCACGCCTCAGTCGAAGACATCCCAAGACTCTTTTCCTGGTCTGAGGAGCAAAGAGGGTGCTGGAGGATATGCTTGAGCATCCTTCACAGTGGTCTTTTATGCACTGACACACCCCTTTATCAGAAATCAGTTGGTGATTAGATGCTTCAGATGAGCTATAGGAGGAAAAGATGTCTCGTTGTTAAAAATATGTTTCCTTCATTCCTCTCTTCTCACATCTTACATGTGCAGGACTAAGATGCAAGGAAATGATGTCGGTGAGGGAAACATGGCGAGAGAGATGAGATGTACCCACTGAAACAGGGCTGATGTGCCATCACTTAGTCATTTAAGCATAAGCATAAATTGTATTGCCAAGTAGTATCAAGTTTAACCCTGTGGTTCCCAGCCTTGGGCCTGGCCCTTCCAAAAGGTCAGCAGATCAGTATGACAGAAGATACACTTGTCCCTTCTCAGCTTTTGGATGGTTTGTCATCTTTAGGTTTGTAAACCTAAAGTGCATATGTACATTTAGGACGGTTTTAAAACTGAATACTAAGATTTATATAATTTAACCAAGAAGAAAAGACTGCTTTGTTGTTGTCTGGCATTTTGCCACTTGCTGTGGAAACCAGATAGTCTTGTTCAGTGTGCTGGATCTGAATTAAATAGAAAAGGAGTTCCTCTTTTTACTGAGAACTGAACAATGCATTGTTTAGTAATATGAAAATAGACTATGCACAGCCAGAGCTGGCTGTTCACAATTTGTCAGTTACTTGGAAAGAGCCCGAGTGAAAACTCCCTTTAGCAGGATAAACTGGATATCTGACACTTAATTTGTGTTTGTGCACATATTGTACAGTGGGTATGTGTATTAGTGGGAGATGCATGTGTTGTAAATCAGTGGTGTTTTGTGATCCTATGTAGCAGATTAAAAGTATCTTAAAACAGAAATATGGAAACAGTTGTAGTTGGGTACAGTACTTGAGTAAATGTACTTGGTCAGAGTACGTGACTCCAGTGAACTGAACTGTTGATGCCATGCACAAGCATGAGTCTCTGTTAAACTGTCTCTTAAGGGGCCCTGCAACCTTTGACGTCAGACCTCAAGAGCATTATGTCTCAGTGTCTGAAGATAGGCTGGAGTTTGTTTTTCCACTGACGACAGAACTGACCTTGTCCTGATTACAGTTTGGTTAGTGGAGAAAGGAGAGTGTAGCAGACTCTGATGTGTGGAACCCCAGTTTGGACGTTGTCACAAACGTGTGTCTCAGGAAACCCCAGATAAGCTGCTGTCGGCAGCTGGAGGCTCACTTCACAGCCAGCGAGCTGCTGATGGAGGGTTATCTATAGCCTGTACACATGTCAGGGGCTGCTGGGAGCTGTGGATCATGGATGCAGGGGATTTTGGGTAGGAGGTGATGGAAAGGTGACCAGAAAGTAAATGAAGGAAAGTTTAGAATCAGAATCAGCTTTATTGGCCAGGTGTGTCGGACACACAAGGAATTAGACTCTGGTACATTGGCTCTCAATGTGCATGTACATATCCCCATGCAAGGGGCAAGTAAACAGTAAACCAACATAAGGCTGTGTAATATAACAAAATAAGCAGTATTAACAAGCAACAAACAGTGCAAACAATGCAAAATAAGCAGTATAAACAGGCAGTACACAATGCAGACAGACAAAGGAATGCTCATTGTGAAATGAGATAAATAGGAATAAGATAGACTACTTAAAAATAGAGACCTGTATGGATCTGTATAATCTGTTTAGTTTAAAATGTGCTGGAAAGATGAGTGAGGGCCTGAACAAGGTGTCACTGGTTGGGATCATGGTGGCATCTCACTGCCACGCTGCTCTACATGATGCTGCAGGCGGTAAACCTGCAGTCTGTGTAAAGGGGAAGGTGGCTTTGCGATGCAGGGGTGTAATGCTATGGTTACATGTTCACACTCTAAATCTGGAGAAGGCTTGTGCTTTTATCTCTTTTTTGTTGTTGTTATCGGCACAGCAGCTCTGTCAGCGTTGTTCTGTGCAGTGTGAGAAGCAGGCGGCGCAGTGTAAACAGTAGAGATCAGTGATTCTGGCTTCCACTCTGTGATGGCTGTTCTCAGCCTTTGGAGCTGTTTGTTGAGAACAGACAGGCCTCGTGTTTTTCCTGAGGAAGAAACCTGTCATCCAGTGAAGCGGTGAGGCTCACTGGGGTGGGTTAAATAATTTGTGGAGGGCACAGACCAACACTGACTGACATTCTGCCGACTTTGGTTTAGTGGAAGCCATCATCATCAAGGGTCAACTTGGTGTCAACACACCAGGATCTCTGTCTGATAGAGGCACATGACTAACCACTAACTCCCTCTCAGGGTTTCTTCAGGCGGAGCCAGCAGAGTAACGCCGCCTACTCATGTCCCCGCCAGAAAAACTGCCTGATCGACCGAACGAGCCGAAACCGCTGCCAGCACTGTCGTCTGCAGAAATGTCTGGCTGTGGGCATGTCCCGTGACGGTGAGGCGCACACACACACACACACACACACACACACACACACACAGTCACCTGCAAAAACATCTGGTGGTCAGCAGTTTGCGCGACTGTCTGCAGACATACAAGACACACACAGTGTCAGCAGGCTGTGTGCAGCGTGCTTAGTGTTTATGTTCAGCACAGTAATACACATCCAGCTTGTTCCAGGTTTCTGTGTGGCCCCGTGCAGCCTCAGGCTCCGACTAGTGGCACGCTGTGCCTGGTGTCACTGGACTCTAATGTCACCTTAAAACAATTTCTTCTTAATTTTCTGACAACACTGAATGCTTTTTTTTTTTTTTTTTTTTTTGAACGGAGCTATTCAAAAATTGGAACAAGATGATTAGTAAAGTAACAAAGGGGCAAATGCAGCACTGTGTATTTGTTAGACTTTTAGCATTGCTGTTGGCATCGTGTCAATTCACACAGGATTTTGTTTTGTTTTTGCATTTGGTTCAAGTATTTTTCAGGTTAGGTGCAGTTTGTTTGTATTTACATACTCGGTGATTTAGTTGAAAGACAGATCTGGTGCTAGTCTTTATTTTTCTTATTGTCAATAAATCCCATGAAAACAAAGTAAACAAAACTAATACATTGCTAAATCTGTCCTCAACACTTCCTGTCTGTGGCTCTCTGCTCCAGACACATTGGTTCCTACTGAAAATGTAAATGTAAAAAAAAAACCCAGTAACTTCCTGAAACAGCTTTTCACTGTAGATTTTATCAAACAGGAGGAAACAGTGCAGGTGCTGGGGACTATTTTTGGGACTGAGTCTGAATCGCCTCCAGTGTGTGTTCATGGTGATGGAGGAACATGTCAGCCAGTGCAGCAATGTGGTCACTGGTGGGTTTACTGGTGTCTGGACACAGTGGAGCTCTGTGTCTCAGAGGGACGAGGGAGATCAGGACGAGATTTGTGGGACTTGTTAATAATCGATAGACTGCCCATGGGATTTGATGACCAGAAGAAAAATGCTGAACAGACCAGAGGGTTTTTAAAGCACAGCGGTGGAGTCAGGATGCAGTTAGCTTAGCTTAGCTTAAAGACAGGAGGCAAAGGCAAGCTGCAGCCTGGCTGTGTCTACACTGCTCACTTCTCCCATGCTCTGCCTTTCTAAAACACAGCTGTGAAGTTTGGACGCATGTCCAAGAAGCAGCGGGACAGTTTGTACGCTGAGGTTCAGAAGCACTGCCTCCAGCAGCAGCAGGGTCCCTTCCTCCCGTCCCAGCCCAGCCCGGGCGAGGCCGAGCCACTGTCGCCCCACTGTGGCCTGTCAACCACAGACCTCACAAAGCTCCCTGATGAGCAGGGAGCCTACGTGGAGCAGAACTCCCCTGAGGGAGGATCTGTGTCATCCAAGGTCCGTTTTTACTGTTCTGAGGTGTTTGACAAAGAAACGTGTGTCCTGAAATGAAATGAAATGAATTACCTCCAGTCTGTTACCTGTGTTCCCCAAGCAGGCGGATTCTGGAGAAGGTGATGGTGGTGGGTTCTATGTGAAGAACCAGGCGTCTCCAGACCAATCCGGCCTCGATATTAATGATATCAAACCAGAGCCACTGTGTGACTACGGTTCCAGTAATGGCTTCTTCCCATACTGCTCCTTCAGCAACGGAGACACATCTCCGACTGCATCCATGGCTGAACTCGGTGAGATGTTCACACTGAAACATGCAGCCATTTACTTTAGTCTGATGGTCAGTAACAGTGGTGAAAAATCACCAAGTACATTTACTCCAGTATCAGCTGTAATCTTTCAAAGTTAAGATCATCCCTCACGCAACAGTCGTCACATCTTCAACAGCAAAATGAGCTTTAAAATCTCCTTTTAAAAAACAGATCAGCTCCTTTTATTTAATTTTACAGACCAAACATAAAAACACAGTGACACGGGTAGGTAGTGTGACCAGTGTGTGTACGGTATCTAGTTAAAGCTCATTTGCTGTCGTAGCCTTTTAACTTGGGACTCCTGTCTTGTCTGAATGAACATTAGGAACATCAGTGTAAAAGTCACCTACTCCAAGTGTGAATGATGAAACCTGCAGTGTTACATCCTGAACGTGGAGAAATGGAGAGAAAGAACTGAGGATGTTTCCTACACAGAGCGCTGCATTATCGACATGTTCTTATTCCTCCAAATCCCAGGAGTCCTGGTTCCAGGTCTGGTTCCCTTTGTGAGCTCCTGTAATGGATAAAGAAACCTTCCTAGCTTCATGTGTGTTCCTCTGGAAAACAAAACAAAAATGAAGCAGCATACAAGGCAAAAGGGGGTAGGGATGGTCAGAGCAGAGAAACAAAAGAGAACTCTGGGGCAAACGGAGAGAAAGGTGTTTTAAATTAGCAGGAGGTCGGAAGCTCATTAAAATCTCAGTGTGGTAATTAGCTGTCTTTTAATTAGGGCCAGTTGGGACGTGGCAGGGCGCTCGTTGGGGGAAATCCTCCTCTTAGTCTCCCTGAAGTTTGTATTTTTTCACCATTTTCCTTGACAGAAGCGTTTATTGTAATAACCCCTGATCCAAACAGAAGCTTTATTCTCAGACTGTTTCTGTAGCTTGTGTCAGGATGTTTTGGTCCTTGCTGTTTTATCACAGTTGTTCTTTTATGCCTGAACAACTAGAATAGCACAGAGGAGCTGAACAGAACAGCAGTTGCAGTTGGGCTGGTTGAGCTGTGTTCACTAACACTTTGTTGACAAAGTTGCACATCGTACAGGAATTCGGTTAGAAGACTACACTGCTGGTGAGGTCAGAGCAGTAGTCATTTGTCCTGAAGTTTCTAATTCCTCTAAGCCCCCATTAGTTTCTAGAGCTCCAGACTGGCCCTCAGCATCTGGATGACCTTCCCACCATCAGGACAAACTTAAATTTCTGGCTCAACTTCTTTGCCTCACTGTCATGTGCTTTGTTCCAGATCACCTGGCCCAGGTCATCTCCAAGTCTCACCTGGAGACGTGTCAGTACCTGAGGCTGGAGCCTCAGCAGAGGAGCTGGCAGAGCTTCCTGCGGGACAAGGGGGAGAGCTACCAGAGCAAGGTGCATCTATATCATTTCTTTATTGGGATGTTGTGCTTGTTTTCTTTGTAGGCCTGTTGCTTAATCACACTGTCACCCAGTTGTGTTCAGTGGGTTTTCCTGTATATTGTATTTTGTTTTAACAACTTCCCTCTCTGCAGCCGCGGGAGGTGATGTGGCAGCTCTGTGCTATAAAGATCACTGAGGCCATCCAGTACGTGGTCGAGTTCGCCAAACGCATCGACGGCTTCATGGACCTCTGCCAGAACGACCAGATCGTGCTGCTGAAAGCTGGTGAGAGCAGCTGCTGCTTCATTCAAGTCTGGTCATTTTTTATTGTCAGCAAATCCCACGTGCACAAGTGAACCAGCAGTGAACGTCTTTCTCCAATACTGTCCTGCTGCCACAAATAATCAGATCAAACTGGGGCCTTTTCATTTGATTAACCACCACAGTGAGCAACTGTTTTAGGAAATTACTGCTAACTTTTAAAAATGAAACTATATATTTGTGAGATTTATATCTGCAGTAGCGACCAATGGGCTTGGAGCCGAGAGCCACAGACAGGAAGCCAGGGAGTACTCAGATGTTTTAATGGGATTTATTAACAGTAAGAAAAATGTTCATATTGTTACTGTTAACAGATGCACAGAAATACTCAAATACTGAAGTCATTTGGTTACCAATGTTTTTTTTACACTTTGTCTTGTTAGCTTTGTCCTGTTACAGGGGCAGGTTTTAATTTTTCCATCACCAGTAATTTATAGGTGGGTAGGTAGAGTAGGTACTTTATTGATCCCACAGTGGGGAAATTTCTGTGTTACAGCAGCAATAGAGAACAACCAACATAACACCATAAGAACAGGACTTCATAAAAACACGAGGTCACAGCTGCTGTAACTTGCTGCCACTCCGCGCGGGGCATGCGTACGTAATAACAAAAAACACTTAGTCTTAAAATAAAAAGTTACACAACAACAAAGCATTAGAACCGATACAAGGATTATAAAAGTAGTGTCATCAGAACGTTACATTTTACACAGCACATAAGCAAATCAAAGGCACCTAAAAACAGGGCAAAGCAGCACTGGAGAGAATCAGGAACAGCAGTAGAAACTAAACAACCAGGAAATCAAGAACAATCGAATATTACTCACACAATTGATCCCACAATGGGGGAAAGAAACCTGTGTTTCATCCATAAGGATCTCTGAGGAACTACTCAAAAATACCTAAAGCAGGGCAATGTACAGTATTTGAGAGAGATCAGGAACCATTGTCCTTTGACACTGAAGCTGTTGGGGGCCAGTTCACATCTGACAGTGGGAGAGCAAAGCAAGCAGTTACCTGTAATGAGGTAGCCACACTGCTAGCTAGCCAACTAAAAGCTATACATGTGAACACACAGACATCTTACAGGACTATCACCTTTCTACTGCAGAAGAAGTGTATTAAAGGGAGTGTGCTAATGTGCAGGCTTCCAGAAAGCCGCTACATTGGCTGGCTACTGTTAACGAGCTAGCCGCCGTGATTTCGCTAACTGCTCCTAGGTGAACCTGGTCACGGACAAGATGGCGGACTGCCAGCCTCAACAGGTTTACAGTCAGCATTAACTGTAACCCAGCTTCTGGACAAAGCCGACAACTTCTGCCTGAGGCTGACAGCACATAAATCAAATGCTCTTTAGTTAGCAATGATGGATTGATCAGTTTAAGTAGATAGTAATCAGTGAGTTGTTAAACTGTCATGAGCAGTGATTTGAACTGAAGCAGCCAGTGTCTCCATGTTTTCTCTACCAGGCTCTCTGGAGGTCGTCTTCGTCCGAATGTGTCGGGTGTTTGACTCACTGCACAACACCGTCTACTTTGATGGGAACTTCGCAGGTCCTGACGTCTTCAAAGCCTTAGGTGAGTGGAGGAACCGTCCTTTGTGAAGCATCGACTTGTTTTCTAACACTGTGACCACTAGCGAGAAAAACACTGGATGTTTGGGTCCAGAGTCAAACAAAAAGGTTAATTCACTGTTTTTTTTTTCCTCCTCTTTCTGGATGCCATATCACTCTCAGAGCGTCACTTATGTGTTTCTAACCATTTTCCTTTTTTGTGTGTGAGACCAGGCTGTGATGACTTGATCACATCGGTCTTTGACTTTGCTAAGAGCATGTGTTCGCTGCGCCTGACAGAGGACGAGTTTGCTCTGTTCTCAGCGTTCATTCTGCTCTCTGCAGGTATGTCTCTTCACTTTGACTTCAGCCCCAGTTTGTTATCCTGAATGATCTGCACACACATACTAGCTGAATATATTTGTGTGTGTGTGCAGACCGCTTGTGGTTGCAGGAGAAGCTACGGGTGGAGAAGCTGCAGCAGAAGACACAGCTGATTCTGCAACACGTCCTGCGGAAGAACCACAGAGAGGATGGGATGCTGAACAAGGTACACACACACACACACACACAGTTATGGACAAACTACTTAGGACTCAGCATTCTTGCATGTTGATCAGGGCAACACATTATCTTAGATGGAAGTGCACTGCATCCATCAAAGTAAAAATAAACAGGAGGATCTTATGTAGTTATGACTTGCCATCTTACAGTTATGAGACCTTTTTCTTGTAATTATGAGAATGCAGTGGTTGGAACGCTGCAGAACTTGCCTGAAAATCATCATGTTTTAATTCAGGGGTAGTTGTCAGTACATCCAATAGTGCATAGCAAAACATTTTAATAGCTAATTTGGTGTACCTACTGTTCCAAACAAATACAGGCTCAAAATGGGCCCAAGGTGGTGCCTACAGTGTAACTCACTACATGTACTTAGCAGGAGTAGGAAGCTTCAAAACCTGCTTGAGAAACTTTGGGGTTTTCTTCAGTAGGCTATTTACGTCTGTCAGCACATCCAGCGGTAGGCCAGGCAGGAAAATGAACTGCTAGCAGCTAATTCGACGTATAAAAGCCCTTTTTCCACCGCCTGGTAGTGGCTCAACTTGACTTGACTCTACTCGCTTTTGGTACCAGGTGCTTGGTTTTCCACTGCACATGGTCCCCTCTCAGTGTAGCTGGTTGTTACACTGTTGTGACTTCATCAGTAACCAACACGGTAACACGGGAGGTCATGGAGGGTACACTGCTGTTGATTCTGTGGCTGTTTTTAGTGCAGTAACTACAGTGAAGTAGCAGTTAGCTTTCTTTGTTCGTTTGGAACCTTGACAGAAGTGACACCAAAAACATCCTCAACATTTGACTGATGGAAGCACAAATAAGGCGAGTTGAGCTGGTACCAGGTTGTGGTAAAGGGGCTTTACCACAACCAAATACAGCCTAGGCTAAAAACGGTGTCTAGATTGCAACATCAATGCAGCCTATACCTTACTTCCTGTTTCTTGTCAGAGTTTATATGTGTTCACATGAGTTCAGTGCTTTGTTGTGATCATGAGAGCTTGTAACGCGCTGTAGGTTACTGTTGTGATTTAAGAAAACAGATCTGATTTAACTGTCTAGAACGTAAAGGCTATCTGTATAATGAATATCAGCTTAAATTTTTTTTTACCCAAATTTTTTTTGCATTAAAGGTTCAATCGTGTACAAATTGTTTTTCCACTGTAATGGGAAAAACCCCATTTAGGGCCCCAGTTTACTTTTGCTATGCACTACTTTTGATACTAAAAACTTTAAACGTGATGGTTTCTAGGCAAGTTCTGCAGAGTTTCAACCCCTGCATTACCTCATAATTATGAGGAACTAAGTTGTAAAGATGGTGGTCTCAAAATTAAAAGATCCTGAGCTTGTAATGTGGTGATTACTGCTATGAACTCCACTGGAGAGAGACCAACACTGCGTGAGAGCAATATTACCTTCAAAGCAGAAACGTCAACTCTACGAGAATCACCTCACTATCGGATGACTTAGTGTTAGATTTGCAGTTCTTATCTTCTCCACATGAGGGCAGTGTGAGGCCACTGCTTTTTTAATACACAGGCCCTGACTCAAAGTGTGAACAGAGGTTGTTTTCAAACAGACCGACTCTGGTTTCAACCTAACTAAATGACCTCTAAGAGTAAATCTCACTTTCCCTGTTTGATGTCTCCTCCCTCAGCCCAGAAATCGTCTGTCTGATAGTTAGGTTGATGCCGCAGTCAGTCTTTGTGAAAACGGACTTTGTTGGTGGACCATGTATAAATTTCATACATTAAAAAAGCGGTGTGGCCTCACACTGCCCTCCTGTGGAGAAGATGAGAACTGCAAATATAATTTTCCAAGTCTTCCACAGTGAGGTGCTCTCCTTTAACAGCTGATGTTTGTTTTGATATTGCTCTCACTCAGTGTTAGTCTCTCTCCAGTGAATTCATAGCAGTAACGACACTGTAGGATGAGGCTCTGCACGTTGAAGGCCCTGAATATCCATCAATTTGCCTCCGCTTATCCGGGACCGGGTCGCGGGGGCAGCATTCTAAGCAAAGATGCCCAGACTTCCCTCTCTCCAGACACTTCCTCCAGCTCCTCCGGGGGGATGCCGAGGTGTTCCCAGGCCAGCTGAGAGACATAGTCCCTCCAGCATGCCCTGGGTCTTCCCCGGGGCCTCCTCCCGGTGGGACATGCCCGGAACACCTCCCTAGGAAGGCGCCCAGGAGGCATCCGAAACAGATGCCCGAGCTACCTCAGCTGGTTCCTCTCACCGGCTCTACTCTGAGCTCCTCCCAGGTGACCGAGCTCCTCACCCCATTTCTGAA